CCTCCCCTCTGCTCTCGCTCATAATCGCAGTCGGATAACAACGCGTGGACGAGGAGGTGGGGGAGAAAAACTCTCGGCCCATAATTCACACGCGTGACGGACGTTGTTGGTTTTCGTTCGATTTATGCTGTGCCACGCCACTCGGTCGTCGTTGTCAATCGATGCGTGCGTGCGCGGCTCTGCCCCGACAGGAGGAGTGGGAGTGGGAGTGGGAGGGAGGGATCCTCGAGGAAAACAGCTGTCCAATATATCTGTCGGGAATAATCGATCGGCCGTATCGTGTCGTGCGCGAAGATATTGGATGATGGGCAAAAGAAGGAAGAGGTGAACGAAAAGGGATATTTTGTAATTCTGGATTTTTTGAAATCCAGAAGGGAAAAGAGGATGTGTGAATTTGAATTACGGTTGTTGTTGATGCATTTTGTTTTTTTTTATATTCTGAAAGGAAGAATGAGAATATATTGCATATATTTCCAATGATTTGTGTAAAATATTATATTCAAGAATTATTTATTTTGATTTTAAAAAATTATAGTATAATAAATATATTTTACTATTGATTCAAGAATTTATTATTTTTTTTTTAAAAATGTTGTATAATTATTGGTGTACTTTGAAAATATTAATTCAAGAATTGATTATTCCTTTTAATAAGTTGTATAATTATCGGTGTACTTTATTTTACTGGATATTTTGTGCAGTATGTCCAAAAGATAAAACCTGAAGAAACCTTCAAATCTTGATATTCAATCGTTCGTTCTAACATTCTTTCGAGAAGTTATATCAATTGTAAACTTCACTTATACCACGTTGTATTCGTTGTTTTACATTGGCTAGAATATTTCTCTCACTTACGATCGATGTATGAACCTTCGATTTGCCCACAACAATGACGAGTAAAATTTCTCTGCTCCTCGTCGTCCTTCCAAAAATCTCGTTTCGTCTCGTGGAACGATCCGTCATTCGAGTTGGAGATAAATTCGATCGCCGATGACAATCTCGCTTTCTCGAAGAGAAAAATTGGCATCTCTTGCGTTTCTTTCCCTCCTCGCGACTCAACGCGATGAAACACGTACTCGTTTCTCGCGATCGATTATTCTCGACAGATACATCGAATCCTGTTCTTCTTAGTTGAAATATCCCGTCTGACATTTTCTGTAAAATATTTCCAGAATTCTTTTAAATAAAGTTACGAGAAATTTATTTCGTATCCACGTTTTTCTTCCAATTTTTGTTAATATCGAATAAACTATAAAAGTTTAATCATATAAATCGTTGCATTTAAAATGGAATTTTTCAAAATATATTGCAATAATTATAAAAATAAACAGCTTGAGATCTCGTGAAGTGAGAAACAAATTGCACGAATGAGTTTATTTCTTACATCATATATTCCAAATAATTATTCTTATCAGTTACAGAATAAGAATTTAATGAATTTAATTTTTAGCTAATGCAAAGTCAGATCGAGAAAATAGATCGAATCGTTGAGCGACGACGGTATCGGTCGATCATAGTAAAAAATGAAATTATCGACGAGTAAACGGAGCATTATTACTGTGACAAAGTCCACGCGAAACAATCATTTCATGTATCCATTCCATTCCTATAATTTCGAATTTCGAAATCTCAATTATATATCGTATACGGGGGGGGATTATCCAATGATGTTTAATCTTTGTAATATTTCGTATAATATCAGAAGTCGACGGATAATTTAATATTAGACAGATAATATTTTCGATTCTTTTCCCTTTCGAAATGTATTTCGTTGTATTGTAAAAGAATTTCGCATCGCGCGTAGAACGTGTCGCGCATCGTCGAGTTGCACCACTTGCTGCGCAGTTGCTTTGCGCGAGTGATACGAGCAAAGCATAAACGAGAGAGAGAATAATACGCAAATAGAAATTACCGTGTAAGAGCGATGTTGTTGATTTACAACAACCGGGGAGCGAAATCTCTTGACTTAACATTTTATTTTTCAAGAAAAAAAGAAAAAAAGGAACGAATATTCATGCATGCTCGAATTAATTCCTTTATGAATTGTATTCGTATCAACCTTTGTGCGAATATTTTTCTGTTCCAGGTGAGCCCCAAACTGACGAGGTGGAGTACGAGGCAAAGGTTATTAGCTACATTACGCTAATTGACTTTCGTCCATGCAACACGGGCTTCACGAACAGATGTTATTTTAATAATTATTATAATTATAATATTATTCGAATATGTAAACAACATATTACTAGTTGCCGCTACAAATTTATTAATTTATAATACATAAATTTTCGCATTGCCGATAATACTATAATATTATAATTAATTAATTTAATATAATAATTTAGTTTCTATATTAATCGTAATGATTATGGTATGAAATATTCGTTTGATTTTATAAAATACAACAACGAATATTTGGATTTATAATTTATAATTAAACAAACAAAAGTGATAGTGATATTTTTTTTCCCTTAACTTATTGAGAAAATTTTTTTTTCTTTTTTTTATGTACAATGAAATATTCGAATACATAACTTTCATGGAAATTTGTATCCATGATATGATATCCATTTAAATTTTTTATCGATCAAAAATATATCGGGAGATTTTCATGTTGGAAAGTATTTATAAAAATAAATGTCAAAAATAACGCTTGAGATAATCAAGTTAGAAAACTTGATTATATTTCGAACAATTATTATTTCGATTAATTATTTCATTATTACTGTACATATTTCAAATAATACTATTTTTCATCATTGTTAAAAGTTGAAATTAAGTTAAAAGTTAAAATTAAATTTTAAAATTGCTAGTAAAAAAAAAAAAAAAGGAAAAAAAAGTTTGGAAGTAAAATCGTTTGTGTAATATTATTAAAGAAAATGGAGGAAAAAATTCTTTTTAACAGATGGATGAAAGATCAAAACGTGCACATACGAGATTGTGCAGAAATTATAATTAATCGTTACTAATGTGTACTTAATTAACTTACTAGTATTTTTTAATTATTATCAAAATTAAAAAATGATGTTTTTACAAAAGCGAGTAATTTTTTAATATTATTAAAATATACGCACATTTTTATCATATTCTTCGTCAACGAATAATTTATCCCAAAAATTTTAATCAGCATAAATTTTTAATCAGATTCGATCAAATATTATCCAACAGTGAGAATTACATTTAACCTAGAGCCAATAATTTTTTAGGCCTAACAAAAAAAAAAAAAAAAATAAAAAAAATTAATCTTTTTAAATTTTACTTTTTAAATAAAATTAACATAAATCTCTATTCCCTCTTTATTTTTTTCGCCCCCCAGCGAAAAATATTTTACATCAAGTTGCTTTGCTCTTTCATTATCCCTCCCCTATATTCCGTCTTTATTAAATCTCGCTAATAAGTAATTAAGGTCAGAAAAAGGAAAGAAAAGAAACAAAAAAAATTGGGGAGGGAGGGGAGAGAAAAAGTTACGAGAAAGAGCATGGATTCCCGTCTCTAAAGAAAAACTGTTTTCCTCCAAAAGAACCGTACATCTCTTTCTCTCCTTTCTCATGCTCCTTTAGATAATAGGAAAAGAACTTTTGATACCGTATCCGGTCTTATCGCGTGGCGAACCGCGGAAGGATCGTAATCCTGATCCAAGTAAGTAGACTATGAACCGCGCTAGGTATATCCAGTTTTTCAACCCTCTCTTATCCTC